AAATTATTATCATTTTATTATTTTAGGTGGAAATCTATGAAAGTGACTAAACGTATTTAGAACGTGTAAACTGCGAAAGTAATACAAACGTTACAGTAAAGTGAATTGAAAAATACCCCTGATGGATCTAAGAATTGATTCTAAAAAAAGAAATCAAAATGAAGAAACGAATAACGACACAAAAGAATATGTAAACCAACAGTGTGGTAAAACTTATATAGTTTCTAAGTTCTTAGTTTTGTTAATACCTTTGAGTATTACAAACTGCACAAAAAATTAATGTATTACATAATCCACCATGCAAAAATAGACAAATTTAATTTTAGAATAATTTTGTCAATAAACATCGTATCGAGATTATTAGAAAAGCATTTTAAAACTTCAAATCTGTACTCTCCAGACAGATAATTGTAAAAAGGATAATACTGATATTTTGTGAAATTTCAAAACTATAAATGTAGGTGTAGCAAATTTTAAAACTTTTAACGAAAACTTTGCGAGGTTTCCCATTACGATTTAAAAATTGTACACTGGTGCGATTTACAGCATTCGTCAGGGTAAATCTTGGCCTATAAATTGTCTTTCATTCAAGTTAAGTATTACCGAGTTTCTTTCACCGAGTATTCGATGTTGATATAAAAATGAACTTCTTTGCTTTAACGTTGAACAAGTCAGTGAAAAAAATTACAGAGATGTCAAAGAAAAAACAAATTATATGTAAAAAACGACTCAATCTTTCGGAAACTGTGAACCCCGTTTGTCCATAATTCTTATTTTGCGCCTTGTAACTTCACAAATTTCGTATAAAGTTTTAAGATTTGATGTATTATCATATATGTGATATTGTAACATCATAAAATATCAGCACAAAATTTTTAAAGTGCCGGTGTGAAAAGAAAGATTTCAAGATTTAAAATGGTGTTTTATACATTTTGTTACGATAATTTTTGACAAAGATATTGTATTTAGAAGTTTGTCTGTACTTGCAAGTGACGCTTTAATTCTGCAGAGTACTGTATTTTAAAAATTATCAGATTTATGTTACCGTTTTCAAGTTTATTTCATATCAAAAACTTTTTTTAATATTAAGATAATCGCATCGATTCCCCGACAACTTCAAATCGGAATAATGAAGATATACGTATTGAAACTTTTCCATGCGAAATGTGTGGTAAAAAGTTTAGCTTTAAGTGCGACTTGTATAATCATGAGAAAATTCATAAAGGCGAAAATCCTAATAAATGCGAATTTTGTGATCATATAGCTAGGTGGGTGGTTAAGTGAACAACATGAAATATTAATTTAGTAATTCAATATCAATGATATATATTACCTTAATTTAAATGATAAAAAATAATGAATATTGCAACTGTCATTTTACAGGCGAGGAAAGCATCTAAAAAAACATGTGATGGCAATGCATTACAATCAAGATCGTTACAAGCGTAATAAGGATCTATATATTCGTAAATCATACAAATGCGGAACGTGTGATAAAGAGTTCCAGTATGAAACTCAATTGCGTACTCATGAGAGAACTCATATAGAACAAAGTTACAATTGTGACCTTTGTGGACGAAAGTTTAGGTGGGTACTTAATTGAATAACAAAAATCAAAAGAAATATTTCGATAAATGTTGCTAAAAAACTTTACAGATTTTTTCGGAATCTACAAATGCACAAAAAGGTTCACAAAAATAATTAATGTTATTATGAATATAAAGTATATGAAAAGAATACCCGTACTAAATAGTATCTGAATTGTCATATAGATTCAGAGCACAAAAGTAAAAGACAACATCCTTTCGAGGTATGTGTCTTAAAATTAATGTTCTTCCAATCCTGTCTCATTTGATAAACTTTGTCTTATTAAGTTTCTGTACATTAATTATAAGTGTGTTAATTTTCTGTTTGCATTAAAGTCTTTATTACCAGTTCTCAACAGTCATGAATATATAAATGTTA